ACTACTGCCAATCAGTCTGCCTAGTTGGAGAAAAAAAAACTTTGAGATTTCTTTAAAAATTTTTTTAAGCAAATTGTGAATATATATATATATTTATTCATTATTCCAGTGTTAGTGACTAGATCTAATATATATATATATATATATATATCTCAATTTATAGGCAGAAATTATTTCTATTACTTCTACATTGACTGATTCTTTCACAGATTTTTAGATAATTAAAATATCTTACAGTGGTGCCAGGTATAGAATTTGCTTTTTGTCCTATAATATGACTTACGTTTTCCCTAAAATTAAAAAAAAGGTGAGTGTAATCCTTTATGAATTTGATATCTATGCTGAATTTGGAGGGTTTCAAAATTAGAATTACCATGTGGTTTATATATAAAAACAAAATTTTAAAAATTGAATTTATTACACAAGATATTTTTATTATAAAAACAAAAATATTAGAAAAGGCAAGATATTAAAAAATAAAGACTTTTATTAAAGTACTCCTCACACATGACACTTTTTGAAGCAGATCATTAGTTCCTTCCCTATATCTATTTCTCCCTTTCTCTTTGTAACAGAATCCCAGATACTAAGTGATCATAAATACATAGCTAAAAAGCTATATTTCCCAGAGTCCCTTAAAGCTGGTTATGACTAAATTCTTGCCAATAGGTGTAAAGGTAGCGTTATATGGTGCCTCTGGAAGGTTTTGTTGAAAAGGAGGGACCAGGCCTCTCTTCTGCCCTTTGGTCAACTCATCCTCTGACATGTAGGCGTGATGATGGGAGTTCTAGGAGCTATCTCATTGAAGGTTGAAGGCCACATATCAGAAATGACAAAGAAAGAGCTTAAAGGGGCTAGGAGTGTCTATCAATTTTATGGAACTGTTCTACTAACCTCAAACTATCAACCTGTGCAATTCTTTCATGTGAGGGAGAAATAAATTTATATTTTCTTTGAGCCATTGTTATTATTTTTAATGTTGCCCAACCTCACCCCAAGTGGTATACAATGTAATTATTTAAATCATGTTTTTAAAAGGTATCTAATGGCATGGGAAAATGCCAGTGATTTGTTAAGTGAAATAAATAATTTGTTCATTAACAAACAGATAAACAAAGTTGCTGACAGCTTTTTTTTTTATTTTTATTTTTTATCATTTTTACTTTTTATTCTCTCCTGGAATTAAGGAGTGAAGCTTGAGCCAAAGATAATCCAAGATTCATCTGTTGATAGATAATTTTTAAAATCATGAGGTGGATGAGATTGTCATGCAATGAACTTATAAAAAGAGATGAGAAAAAATGAGACAAGAAAAATTAAGAGGCTGTGGTCTCTTGGAAGTCATGCAAAGGATTTGCATTAGGAAGAAAGGCATGATAAACTGTCAAATGTTGATGACAGGACAGATAAAATAAGAAGAAAGAAATGAGGACAGTAATGTGTTGAGCATGTGCAAGCCACTGGCATCTTAATAAGGGTGACTAATTGAGAGATGGGGGCTAAGGTCCAATGGAAGTGGATTTAAGAGAAAGTTGGAGGAGAGGAAAGTTGGAGAGAGTGAATAGAGACTACTGTCATGGAGTTTTGTAGTAGAGAAGAGAGACAAGGGGCAGAAGTTGGCACAGAAAGCGAGATCAAGAGAAAATGTTTATTTGATTTGTATTAATATGTAGAAATAACAAGTTTTTGTGCAAGTTGCCATGCTCCAAGAACAATAGGAAAACTAATGAAGCAAGTGATAGAGGGGGGAAGGGCTGGAACTTTCTGTCTTTGGAGAGGGTGTGATCAAGTATGCCTGTGAGAGACTGGCTTTAGCAAAGAACAGAGCTCGCTAACAGGTACTGGCAGAAAGGCGGGTTAAATGATGCAAATACTGATAGGCGGTAGCTGTAGCAGAGCTGGTTGGCAGAAACTCCTGATTGCTCAGTTGAGTTGAGTTGAGTTGAGTTGAGTTTAGTTTAGTTTTTTCAGTAAATTAGAAGCAAAGTCATCAATGGAGAATGAGGGCGAGTTAGGAGGTATTTGGAGTTGAGGAAGCAGGATCAGTATGAAATATTAGCTAGTAAGTACAGAGCGAATGGACTAGGGGAACAAAATATGAATGACAAGCAGCATTCAGGGTCCGCCTGAGGTTCGTGGTCATAAATTTAAAATCGAGCCCGTCAGTGTGGTCGCTTTCAGCTGCTTGGATGCAGGCGTGCAGTAGACTGAAAATTGGGTTTACCCCGAACTGTGGTTTAGCCGAAAGAAAATACAGAAGGGAGAAATGGCCAAGACAATTTTGTGGGAATTCAAAGAAATGGATATAATGAATGTCCATGTAATTTAAACAGGGTAAGAAGGGAAGGAGGCCTATCCAGTGAGTGAGATTAAAAGAATCAATGGATTGGAAATCCCAGTTGGATAGAAAGATCGTAGGAATCAGGGTATTAAAGGGACTGAATTGGGAAGATAGGGGATGACTGTCTCAAGTGTAATCGCAGGAGGAATTGGCTCAGATACGGTGGACGACAAGACAATTAGAAGAGTTCAAGGAACTGAGAAAACAAATGGAACTTGAGGCCTAATATTTTTACAATTCGGTAAAAATTTGATTTTAAAAAGATAAAATCAGAAACATTAATATCATCACATATGAATTAAAGAATCAAGGCTGGAGATTTCTGTTGGCGTCTGTTTAGGGAAATGAATAGAATTATGTTTTTTTTTTTTTTTTCCTAGACATGAACAGCTTGAAAGTGATGCCACGTTAATTTAGATGTTAGTTGGATACTTTGAGGGTTTGAACCATACAAAATTGCCGATATTCAACTATCTTTAATCTATAAAAATGGCAATTCCAAAAGGTTTAACTTAATATAGGTATATGGGTGCATAAAGCTACGTACGTGCATCAGCGTGGCAACTTTGCTCAAACAAAAGTAAAAGAAAAACAGCTCTGAGGTTTTGTTTGAATGAAGAGGCTTCCTGAAAAAGAGACATTTTGAGTTTCTTTTTTGAGAAGAAAAATTAAGGCAGAATTGTCTTTCTCTCTTGGGCTCATTCTCAGCAGACTCATTATCAGAAGCTAGATGTCACTGATTTTTAATATTCTGGTTATAAAAATAAAACACGAACACATCTTTATTTTTAAAAGATGCAGACAATATAAAAATTTACACAGTAGTTACTTTCTCCTTTTCCTTCTAGACTTCAACTGTTTTCCCCAGACGTAACCTCAGCAAAATGCTTTCAGTGTCCTTTCTATGCATTGATCTGTATCTGCCTATAAACCTCTTTCTTTCCTCTGCCACCTCTCCCCCTTCTCTTCTCTCTCTTCCTTTCACATAAATGCAAAAATAATGCAGGCGTATTTTTAACTTGAATTTTTCATTTAGTGGTATATTTTATAGGTCTTTCTATGTCAACACATCATTTTAAATGGCCGTGTTGATTCAATAGTTTTAACATATCATAATTTATTCAACCACCTATCTATGGATTCTAGATTACTAGAAGTAAATGATGACAATAATCATCCTATTTTCAAAGAATATTGTGAGAGTTGAATAAATTAATATATGTAAAACACTTATGAGAGTACCTGACATACAGTAAGCATTCGAAATCACATTCAACAATGCCAATCTTTTTATTTTTTCATATCCAATGGATGCAAATGATGACGTATTGCTTTTTAATGCACTATCCTTTATAATAATTATTTTGAATCTCTCTCCATATGTGTCCCTTCCATTTTATTTTACAACAATTAACAAAATTAAAAATGTAATGAGCTTTTGTAATTACCACTAGCACAAACATAAAAACATCATTATGTATATGCATTATTACTATTACAGCAAAGTTCGCATTCACCAGAGATAGATAAAAAACACAAATTTCCAATTTGATCACTCAGCCTCCAAAGTGGTTGTGTGTGACTAAGCTGTCCTCTTCTATTTGGTTCACAGGACGTTCTCAATTATCAGGTAATGACTAAAAGTGGTCTCTGTAAAACAAATTCCATTTCAGAATTAATCTATTTTGTTAAGGCCAATTTGTATAATAAAGACACAATAGGAGAAATATTTTGGCTGAAGTAATTTTGTATTTGGATTCTCATTTCGATGATAATAAAATGTTTATATAAGAATATTTTGGCTTATGGATGGCCACTTTGTACCCACGTACTCAGTCTGATTTTAGTCCCATCATTTGCTTTCATGGTTATGACTATTCAGGACCCAGGGGTTACCTGAAGTGACATCATTTTTCCTTCACATATTAGAGGACATATTGGCTGCCGCTAAATTGATATATCCTAAAATTAAAAAGCTAATATTCTGTATCTACTATTGCATTCATGTGAAATTATTTTACTAGTTATTTTTAAAATCTTATTTTTTCCAGTAATTTGCAATGAGCAATGATTTTCATACACTATGGCTTGATATTTAAGTTATTCAATCAATTTAGGTTTTGATTTAATACCAAAAAAAAAAAAAAATAGCACAGTGTAACAAAGTGATCGTAGCGGGCTAATGAGAAAAGAGAGACAAATTTGGCCTAAGGATAATGCATTTGAGCTACAGGAAGTCCAAAGAGTTCCATGAAGAATTTTATAAAAAAAGTTTCACATTAGTTTGAATAGTGAAAAGCAGTGAGAGAATAACTAGAAAAGCATTAGTTATGCCAAGCTCTTAGAAGTCCTGTGCCTTAGCATTTAGTACCATATTTGCATTGCATGAAGTCTGGCTTTATGGATACCACGTGTAATGGGATATTCCCAGTGAAGGATTTTTGAGATGATATTTTAACTCTTTAAAAAAAAAATTCGTGGTGTACATTGTGGTGTACATTCTCAGATTGGTTCACCGTGATATTGGATTAATATATAAAAGAAGCTCATTATTTAGTTTCAGTAAAACAATATCATTGAAAATATTAAACTAGTACCATTACTTTAAGTTTTATGGATGCATTATTGTGTTTATATATGACTTCCGTATTTTTTTTTCTGTGCTGTCATTAGTTTTCCACACACCTACCTTTTCAGAATGTGTTGATGAGTAAAATGCATCACTGCACATGGCTTCCATATTTTTATCTACGAACTATAAACACTAGACATTTATTGCAGGCTTTATGTTTATATTCACTTAGGGAATATTATAATTAAAAATAACAAGTTAATACTAGCAAACAGCCAGCATTTTTATTTTTAAAGGGTACAATGGAATATTCTAATGTGTAATTCTTAATGTTAGGGATATCATTCCAGTGTCTTTTGTATTTTTGTAAAGTTACTTTGAGAATCACCATGAACTGGTTTATCTAGAGTCATACTGTATGATTCTTAGAGGAAGACCAAGGAAGTTAGAACAATATGAAAACAGATAGGCAATTATACACACACAAAAGACTACTAGGTTTTCAGCCAATCAACATATGATTGAAAAAGCGTAAGGCATTAAAGAACTTTGCATTTAGAAGTGTCATTCTAAGAGAATCAATAGTATGCTCATTTTTTAATTTTGCATTTAAATTATTTGGAGAAAAAGTTTTTCCCAACCTATTAGCTATTTTAAAAACCTTGTAATGGGCTTAAATATGTTGAACCAATCCAGATTGTGAAATAGGTCTTCATTTTTTGCAGCCAAAAAAAAAAAAAAGAAAAGAAAAAAAATGAGGCCAAAGGGTAAAGGACAGTATGGCTTAGGCTTTAAATGGAAAGAGAACAGAGACAAAGAGAAAATGATCTGGTATTATGTGCTCACATCAATGGCAGTAATTAAGACTCGCAGTATCATTAGATATGATAATAATAATTTCTAGCCTTTCATGGTATTTTACATGCTAAGCATACAGAAGCACATGATAACAGGACCCTTAATATTTCTCATTGTTCTTTTTTTTTCTAAGGAAATAATGACATTCAATTGTCATGAATTGGGGAGATATACAACACAGTCTAGGATTCTTATCTCCAAAGGAGAAAAGATGGAGTGTTTTATGCCTTTTAACCATCTGCAAAATGAATGGTAGTAGTGAAATGCTAACAAGATATTGAGGTGAATATTTTTTAAGAATGCAGTATTTAAATTTATAAAAGTTAGTTTGGCGTTATATTAAACATCTAGTAAATGTTCCTAATGGCCTAACAACTAAACAACGACATATTATATCACAGTATCAAACCCAGATATTCCAGGTTTCGATTGTGAGAAATCAGTCATTAATCAGTTTAAATTCTCTAACGCTGTGGTAAGTGTAGGAGAAAGCCCTCATTGACACTGTGGAAATGCAGTCTTCATGAGAAGGAGTGAGAAATGTCTTTAATAGTTAAATATTGCATTTATATCAACATGGTGGGGTCAGCCTTAATGGATAACTATTAATTATTCTCTCTTGTGGACAGTAAATTAAATTGAATATCTAATTTTTATTTTGTTTTCAAGACATGTTTGCAGAGAACATTATAATAATTAAATTAGAATTTTTTCTTGATTTTGAGCTGAGTCTTCAAATGTCCACATTGATCATAGTGAAAAGGCGATTGCAATTCTAAACCTGATTTTTAAATTCAAGGGTTCATTATGGACAGATTCTTTACCAGAGTGCCATACAATTTAAAAACTTGTCAGACACCAGTTTTTGAGGCATCGCTTTAAAGAGAGTTTAATCACTAATTTCAAAGGACATGAAATGAGGGTGCAGGGTCTTGCACATTTCGCAGGATTTGAATATATTAAAATTTGAATATATAAAAGCTATAAAAGGCAATGCAGCTGATTTCATCTTAACAGATAGCTAGACTGCAACCTGCCTTCGCATTATGTTCAGGATGTATTTTTATTCAACCATCCAATGGTTTTGCATCCTGGCTAAACTTCTAATTCAGATAATCTCTGGAAGTTTAAACCAGAAAGCTAGCAGAGAGCTGCTAACAGAAGCAGAAGAGCTGCTCTATGTCATCTGGTTCTTATAATAATAATATAAACACTACTTTTAGCCACATTTCTAGGTTTCTCTACTTATATTGATAACTTGTAATCGAGTGCCATAAAGTCCCCCTTTTCCGGTTCCTAACTGAGCTGACAATTCGACTCTTTCAAAAGAAAGCTTTAACTTCACAGAAGTTAGTCATAAACAGGTCCAGTTCATCCATTAGAGGTTTTTTAAGGAGGAATGTAATCCTAAAAGCAGCACATACACCTACTAAATAAGGAGATAGACTGAAAATATGAAACAAAACCCAGAAATAGAGTTACTTATAACTAACTAATTTGGACTTCCGGACTTTGCAAAATAAAATCCTTATTCCCCAATGGCTTTTACTTCTCTCAACAAACGTATTTTATGCCCACTTCTGATACCATACATTTCAGCTAATTCTTGATATCAAGGGACTAAGCATATAACGTGCATATTATTCATGAATTAGAATGGATCAACATAGGAATGTCAATTAAACAAGATTTTAACAGAATGAAGGATAAAAATCACATGATTTGTTTCAATAGAAGCTAAAAACGTATTTGAGAAAACATAACAAATAAAATATTTAAGTATTCAATTTTAAATATTTTAAGCATTTGAAAACAAATTTTCTAGAATATCTGAGTATGACCAACTTATAACAAACACTTCATTGTCAATTCTTGAGAACCTGAGAACTCTGAGGGCCAAGACTTATGCCGTATCCTCAAATGTAAAATAGAAGTAATCATATCTACGTCATGGCGTTGTTATGATGCTCAAAAGAGACGCTCTGTGTACTTATTTAGCTTAGCATGTATCAGGGGCTTGAAATCCGGTGAATGATAATTACAGGATAAAAGTAATCATGACCATTTGCTCTTCGTAATCTCAGAGCTTCAAAGATTCTCAATAAATTTATGAATTTGAATGACAGAATTTAAATGCCATTGATATGTGCAATTAATCATAGTAATCTATTTACTGTCAAAATCATAGTGGAGCTTTTGTATAACTTGGATACTTGAGCTCCTAACATTCTTTAAGGCTTTTGGTTACAGAGCTAAAGATTAATGATGTTTTTCTCTACTTTCCCACATTGGTGAGGTTTTTCCATTTTCAGTCACCTACCTCTTTAATAAACGTCAGATATAGGATTAAAATGGGTGCTAATGAAGAAGTAGATAGAGGTGGAGACAGCTTCATACCCAAAAAGTCAGGATTCCTATCTGAAGATATCTTCCATGCAAGTAAAATGGAAACCATTTAAGTATTTATTTCTATAACATTATTGTCCTTCCAAACTGGCAGGTTGTATTATTTGTAGTGCTTTCTACATAATGATAAATTCATATTTGAGAAAAAAGGAAAAAAATGAAAATATTTAGGAAGTACCAAAATATTTTAAATGTGTTTGTTTTCAACTCCATGTAATCTAGACTGTGTTTGTGTAATGTTTCTTAACTGTGTATTTTTCTCCATTGCTTTTAGTGAGGATTCTCACCATTACTCAGGCTATATGAATTAACACGCAATCATGGTGGGTTGATTTTTCTAAGGTTATTTATTACAAGATGGTGTGCTTGCAGTGTCGACTATTTAAATTGAAAAAAAATATATATTTCCAACATGTACAAGACAATTTAACATAAAAAAGAAAAGCCTTTAAAAAAATCACCACCAATTCAGACTCTAAGTGTATCGTGAAAAATATCTGTTAGACCAAATTTTTATTGGACATGAGTGCTGATAAACCTGCCTCTGTAGCTGGGATGTTAAAATTAGAAAAAATTGAAGCCAATTTGCCTTGATGGCTTTGAAGGGATAAATCTGATAAAAGCCTTTTAGCAAAGAAGGATATTCTTTGACAAAGAACATTTAGCTTGCATGGTTTTATAATTACTGGTGGAAATTAGAAGGGAAGGAACAGAGCACACTGCTCAAACTTCATTCCGGGTCTGGCATTCTCAGACTCTCCTGGAAGAGGTGGCTTATGAAAACTTAGATTTACCCTGGTGAATCCGCTCTATAGCAACCGAACTCAAGCCTCGGGCACTCTGTCATAACTAAACTGCAGAAATGCCACTGTGATGCTAACTGTCATCACTGGAATATGGAGCAAAATGAACTGCAGCCGTTCGAGATGAGCTATAAGAAAAAGCAATTTATGCAAAAGAAGAGGCTTGCTATGCCTTAGTGTGTGATGCATCTTCTCACACGTGGTGGAGGCCAACTCTAGTCCCAGCTGAAGAAAATGAAATGAGCTTCTGAATGGGGTTTATCAGCCACATCCCTGCACCGCACAGACCATGTCAGCCTCAGAAACCAGCTGGCTAGGTCATTTCATACTTTACTTTGTTCTTTTGTTTTTGTTTTTGTTTTGTTTTGTTTTTTTCCAACCACAAAAGATATGCATTATTCCATAGAAGAAGATAGGGAGAGGGGTTCTTGCCTATTATGCTGATAGGCTTTGTAAACCTGAGAACAAATGTTGCCTAGCAAATCACTTAGACATTTACTGTAAAGATCCTCCTCCTATTTATTTGCTGTATTTATGCCACTCTGTTTCTTCACTGGCTACACACACACACACACACACACACACACAAAATAGCAATAATTTCTAAGCTTAAAAGCATATGTTGAGAATGGTAGAGAAAGGTTATACCCAGGAGATCATAAGTTTTGCTAGCCTGGAAGTTCATGAAACTCTTGACATTGCTTAGAACAAGCATGAGGATGTGACTATATCACGAAAGAGCGCTGGTCGTGAGTGACGGGCGTATCTATTAGCAAATCGTTTAGAAAGCAGTGGCATGTTTGAGATTCTCTCTGTGACCTTTCCGTAGTCTGTGGGGTTCACCTGGATTCTTCTTAGAACTCAGCTGAGATTTAGCAACTTGGCCCACGTGCTCTGTCCTCTGATGAATGAAGCATGAAGTGGTGACAATACAAAAAATACTTAAAAACTCTATGAAAGGGAAAGGTTCTTCTACTATATGACCTGTAAAGAAACACATACAAACTCGCCCTTATGACCTCATTGAAACTTAATTACATCTTAAAGACCCTATCTCCAGATATAATTCCATTGGGTTAGGGCTTGAACA